GTATTAGAATGGGCCAAGTCGTATGCAAGAAGTCCGGGTGTTGGACACGTGTACATGCTCCATTGCCCACGCTCTGTCCGCAGAACCACCTCGTGTGTAAACTCTCCAGACACGGCTCGTCACGCCGACGCAAACCACTCGTCATCGAGAAGTTCCGCTGCGGTAGCCCTCTCTTCGGGACGGATGGCGAGGCAGCGGCGCAGAAACGCGGCGGTCGCGCCCACCTCGTGCGCCGACATCTCCTGCCGGATGTGCGGAAAGTTCGCGAGCCAGTCCTCGAGCGGGCCGGAAAGCGGCGGCGGGAGCCGCTTCAGCTCTCCTACGACTGAAGTTGAGCGGGCGACGCGGAGGGAAAGGGGAGGCGGATGGCGCACCGTCGGCGGTGAAGTACTTGTCGCGGGCTGCGCAGCGGTCGAGGAAGTCGCGCGGGAAGGGCCCGAGGTGCTCCGCGATGCGGGCGAGGTGGACCTCCACTTGACTGAGCCTGGGGGTGCGGGAGCACTGGAAGAGCGAGGAGCCGGTAAGGGTCTCGAACGCCTGTACACCAAGGGGGGCAGCTCAGTCGCTGTACCAAGTTTCTACGGGACGGCCTACCATGCATCCTAGTGACCAGATGTCCGATGGTGTCGACCAAGGGTGCGCCAGGATCACCTCGGGTGCGCGAAGGGGGGATGGAGTAACGTTTTCTGTTTCTGGGGTAAGGTCATCGAGGAACACGGCTGCAGCAAAGTGTCAGAAGGCGCCAAACGGCGGCGGGCCATGACCCAGGGGGATCCACTCACATCCACCAAAATCTCCCAGAGACACATCTATGTTCTCGACCGATGGATCAAGTCCAACATTCGGAAGAGGCTGGGTCTTCACGGTCACCGATGGGCCAACCCACTGTTTGGCGTATTCTGGAGCGTGGTTTTCCGATGGGTGATCATGCAAGTAGCGCTTGAGATCGTCGTGACCGATGTTCAGCTTGATGAAGAGATTCGATGCTTTGACATCTGCGACGGCGTCAGCTTGGCAGACGCTTCCCGGAAAATGATCGCACCTGCATGCACGACCTTCATCTCCCTGTGCAGAAAATCCAGTGCGAGGAGCGTCTGGCGCATTATGCGCTTCACCACTGGCAATCGGAAGCGCGCATGGAGTTGCCCCGTCTGGAGGTCGTCCACAGTCGATCCGTACGGCGCCGTCACGATGCAGCGGTGGGGGCCGTACTTGCTTTCGGCAGTAAAGAGAGCCAGCGGTTCCACCAGATGGCAAAATCCAGGGTGGTCCTGGGTCTCGCAGGCTCGCAGCTCACGGAAACGGCGATAGATCGCGAGCTCGGCGGAGTCTCCGCGCGTCGCGAGGATGGTCAGGACTTTGACCACCACGTACCGTTCGCCTCCATCCCTGCGTGAAACGTGAGTTGGAGCAAGAAGGCTATCGTCTGCGGAACGCACCTTCGGTACAGCGCAAGCCAGACGTTGGAATAGGCTGCCCAGCCGATCTTTCGAACGACCTCGTATGTGCCCCCATCGTGGTCTTCGAAGACGTGTCCGATCTGGACGGGAAAGTAGCCCGCAAAGCCGCAGTCCACGCTCATCATGTGGGGCTCTTCGTGGCAGCGGACTTCGATGGGGTCGGAAGGGTCGCCGCCGAGGAAGACAAGTCTCCAATGAGACGCGTCGGGGACGCGGGTGCTGTGCAAGTGTCGCGCGTTCCATCGACCGGCGAGTCGGGCGGGGGTACGAAATGAATTCTTTGCTGAGATAACATGGCAGGCGGTTGAACCGCGAGCTGTACGGGGTAAAACACCAGATGCTTGTCGGATTGCTGTTGCAAACCGTGTGGGTATCACTGATCGCGATTGCTAAGTTCTTGTCGCGCGCCACAGAAGTAAGAGGAAGTACTCACTAGCTGTCCTCAGTTCCGTGGATTCTGTCGCGAGAGAGAGATACAGCGACGACTGCGCTTGAAGTGGCAGTTATGTATATGTGGATATGACTAGGTCCTAGTTGACGTCAGAGTTTCCGTCAAGCTCGAGCTTGTGGAGTGAGAGGATAGCATTGTCTGACGACTTCTTGCCCCAATGTGCACGGGGCATCCTGCTTTCTGCGGAAAGCCTTCATGGGAGAGACGAACGAGCCAGCGGGCATGTTGGGTGCAGTGAGTCGGAGGTGTGAAGGTGAAAATGGGACGCCGGATCGTCTCAGAACAGTGGACGCGAGTTGCTCCGGAAGGGGCGGGCCGTTGCTCCACGGATCCGAGAACGGGCGTATGTAACTTTAAGTCGCGGCGGCACGCCGACTACGACGAGGCTACTAATACTACTGCCTTGCCTTCTGCCCTGTTGGTCTTCTCTCGCCAGCTTTGCATGCGCTTCTGCTTCTCCTCGACACCGCGCTCATGTCACGCTTCATTCCCACCCCCGTGCGAGGCCCGCCATATGGCGCAATACCCAAGGCTGCCCGGTCCGGTGGCGTATAAAGGTCGTTAGAAGTTACACCGGGTCGCAAGGATGGGCCCTTCATCGTCAAGTGAGTGTGATGTTTCGTGTGCTGCCAAGTGCATTCTTTTGACGGCATGTCTGGTGCCAACCAAGGTCATAACGCGGACGCCGCCTCCGGTGACCAGAAGCATATCTGCATCATCGGATTAGGACCTGTGGGCATCGGTGCTCTCAAAACCGTCAAAGATGCTCCTCAGTTCAAGGATGGAACGTGGAGAGTGACTGCATTCGAGGGACGTGATAACATTGGTGGCATTTGGTGCGTCTCATGCTCACCTCGGCAGCGTACCCATGGGCTAACGAACGGACTTTGTGCAGGTACCCTGCACCTGCGGACGAGGATCCACCTCTCACGGCTCTGTACGATTCCCTGACCACTAACACCCCACATCCGTTCATGTGCTACTCTTCCATGCTCTATCCACCCGACACCCCAATATACTGTCCAGCAACCACTGTGCTTCAGTACATCTACGACTTCTCTGCGCGATTCGGCCTTGAACCGCACATCAAGCTCAGCACCCGGGTCACTTTGGTTCACTGGAACCAAGCCTCATCGGGGTGGGACGTCACTGTGGAAGGTCCGGCCGGCAAGGAGACTATCCCGTTCGACCTTATCCTCGTCTCGAATGGGCACTTCCGCGTCCCTCGCTTCCCCCAAACGCATGGCCTTGCAACGTGGATCTCCCAGGGGAAAGCCACACACACGGCTTTCTACAGGAGACCGGAGACATACAGGGGCAAATTACTCGTAGTCGGCGGCGCGTATAGCGGACAGGACGTCGCAGCCGAGACTCGACCCTTCGCGTCCGCGATCATTCATTCCATCACAGACGCGACCCCCAAGGACCTCGATGGTGGCAAGTTCAAGATCCGCGGTCGCGTCGCCGAATATCTCGACCCCGCCGAGGGCAAGATCGTCTTCGAGGACGGCTCGACGGAGAGCGGGGTCGATCATGTCGTCGTCGCGACAGGCTACCAGTTCAACTTCCCATTCCTGTCCGAGCCAGAAGTTACTCCCACCACACCCGTGCCAGTCCCCCCATTGCCCGCCGCGCTACACAACACGACCTACCACCTCTTCCCCCTGGCGAAGCACATGTTCCCGCTTGTGACCTCCTACCCCCCATCAAGCCTCGCCTTCCTCGGGCTCCCCCTCCGTGTCGCGCCGTTTCCGCTCGCCGAGGTCCAAGCTCGCGCCGCCCTCCAAGTCTTCGCGGATCCAAGCACCCTCGACATCGCGCACGAGACCGAGGTGGTGCGCGCAAGGCACGCGACGTTCCTCGCCGAACACCGCGGCGACGTGCGCGCCGCGGCGGACGCGTGGTTCCGCTTCGGGTTTGAGGAGATGTTCGACTACCGCGACGAGCTGTACGAGTTCGTCGGGGACCCGTACCGCATCCCCCAGGCGGAGCGCCGGCTGTTCGAGGAGAAGGACTTCCTGCGCGAGCAGTGGCGGGCGATCGAGCGCGATGGGGAGGCGGAGGAGTGGTTGCGTGGTGTCGGTGCAGGCGAGGACCCTGTGCAGGAGTGGGAGGATCATATGTGGAAAGTTTACAAACGCACCGTGCCTTCGAGCGAATGAGTGCATAGATGATGTGTCTTCAGTAGAACTTGTATCTCATGCATCACTCTGTGAGCGGCCAAGCTTGTGGCCCATCGCGTTGCGTGCGAGCGATGTGTCTTTCAATGCCTTGAAATCACAGACGGAGCACCGAGTACTGGCCACCACGTGATCGCGGCACACGACGCGTTACGCGCGGCGGCACGTTTGTGCTTTGCTTTTCATCTCCATGCTCCTCAGTCCCAGTGAGGGTCCCTCCCGTCTACAAACGTCTAGATACGTCCCCACGCCACTCACATATCTAGACGTATATAGACGTCCAGCACGGTCGGAGGACGTATTTTGAATCCGTCTAGAAACGTCTGCTCAGATGTAGACGTATTAAATCCGTCTGTATCCGTCTGTATATGTTCGAATACGTCTAATTACGCGCTTGGTACTGGACACGGGAAGCTGCCCACGGTCATCGGCCCGTTCCACCCGCCCTCGCCCCGCCCATCGTCGCGCGCCGTGCCAGTCGTTCGCCCACACCCGCCCTTACCCACTGCGTATGCAGTCTTCCCTAGCGAGATGCGCCCCGCACGTTTATACCTGGCTGTCGTCCCAGTGGGTGTGAGATTGATCAGCGAGAACAACGAGGCAACGCACCGAGGACACATCTGCGACGCCCCGTAACGTCCTTGCTCCCGCTACTCCGACCGCCGCTCCGGCTGCAGAACGATTTGATTGCAGAGTGCGGAGTCTCGCCATCTCTAGAACAGATACTATGTCAATAGGTCGTGACACGGATGAGTCCAGCACTTACCGTCCGTTGTGGGTGCTTCACTAACTTGTAAAATGCGTCAAATTCTTCGTGAATCCCGTGATGCGTCTTGTACCACAGGACCGCACATTGGTCCCTAGGACTAGAATGGAAGGTGAACACAGATGCCAAAAAGGAAACGGACTCTACCTGAGCTTGGCCCTGTCTGCAGGCACCGGCGGCCACACAAACTTCGAGGAACCGGAGGTTTTCTTGGTGCTTGCAGAGACGTTCTTCGTGGAGGACCCCGCACTGTGGACGCACCTGAGGATGCTCTTGGGGTCGATGATGAAGAGCCCGCGGAGGGCGATGCCCTCGTCCTCGATGAGGGTGCCGTAGTTGTGTGAGATGGACATGTTGCGGTCTGCGGTGGTGAGCAGGAGCTTGAGGCCTTGAAGTCCGGGCCGAGACCGACCTGCTTGTGCAGGGACGTCGCCCAGGCAAAGTGCGAGCACTGCGAGTCAGTCGAGACACTGTGGGGCTAGCATGAGCGGCTGCGGACCTGGACTCGGTGGAAGGGGAGGGGGACGGAGTGGGAGGTGAGAAGGACGGACCGAGGAGGTGTTGATGGTACGGGGGAGAGGACGACCTCTTGAAGAAGCCGTCGACGACGGCACTCGCCTTGAACGCGGGCACGGGCTTCTGCACAGTGGCGACTATCGTTGTGTGTGGTTCGCAGGAGAGGGAACTATGCACCGTGGATGGCAGGAAGGTGTGAGCGATGGCATCCGTCATGAATAGTGGGTATATGCGCACCTTCGACCACCCAGCTGCTCATTCTAAGACGACCAGGGTGGGTACTATGCACTCTCTTGCATGCCTCCAAGACTAAATCCACGTCGCACATGTCAACAAAGAAGGGCGTACACAGCTGTGTTCTTAGATTGCTGAGGATGAAATAGACGAATGGGAGAGGGAGAGGTGGAGGTGGTGGGCAAGCCGCGCGTCGCGCCAGGCGCCAGAAAGTCACGACGTCATCGGAGGCTCGGACCATTCCGTGGTTCACGTGATGAGAGCAAAACTCAAGAGAAACAGCTGCAGAGCCAGTGGCAGAAGGAAAATTTGTGTAGCGAGACACATAGCGAGCTCTGCTCTGTGTTTGCGTGGACACGCGCTGAAGCGCTGACAGGAGATACTGCTCAGCATATTCTAACGTCATCTCCGGCGCCTGAGGGGAGCTTATCATTTGGAGACGTCCCACGACGTTTTTCATCATATCTAGACGTCTCTAGACGGGAGCGGTCCTCACTGGGCCTCAGTCCCCACCTCTTGAACCCGCGCAGGCCATTTCTTATGCCACTTTCACTCTTACCATTCCGCTCTGCATGTTTCTGTGAGAGTATTATGGCCCGGAAAGCAGCAAGGTGCGACCTGTTGATCTCAGCTCTGCGGGTGCGCTCTACATGAACTATCACGTTACGTCCAGATGAATCCACACAACAATAACCGTCTCCTCTTCCTCTCGACATCATCCGCAGAAATCCTCGCCCACCGTTCCCATTGCTCTCGGTGAATCGAGGCACGGCACGCCCTCGGCTACTGGCGCGGTACCCCAAGTCCTACTGCGTTTTACGACCCATTCCGCCAACTCAAGCTTTCGCTCACCGCACTGCTCGAGGAAATCAAAAACGACATACATGTGCGCTTCGACCGCATGGAGAATGCATTCGAAGCTCTGGAAGAGCGCGGAGAGCGGATCTGACGAAGACCTCGGGGAAGCCGGCCGCGGCGAGAGATTTGGAAGGTATCAACGCTTGTGCGTCCGATAGTGGATGCTGGAGCGGAAGCGAACTCCGAGCCATTTCGAGGCGAGTGCTCACCCACACTGGAGGACATGCACTCCGTGACACGATTGGAACTCTACAGTGTCAATCATGGATGTCCCCGCTTCTGTGTACACTGTGCAAAGTCCCCACACCGCGAGGTGGACTCCCAATGACATATACATGGCAGTGAGTATATGCTTCATCGTTTTTGCGAGCCTCGCTTCATGATATGCGCATAGATCTGTTCCTCGAGTCAGCCCACGATCGAAGCTGCCTTCGGTGGCGACTCAAGGTTGGATTCTGTCATCGACGAGTAGGAAAGAAAATTTTACCTGAACAGCGGGAGTTCATCCCAAATCTTGAGCACGGTCGCAAGTCATCCGACACATACACCACAAGTCCATGATGTTTATCTACAACGCAGACCAACTGTCCCTCAGTACCAGTCCACTCGTCCACACCATCGTTGCCAGGCATCACATCTCACATTGCACCCTCAAACGCGAAGGTTTCCTGCACTCCGACGCGCTCCCCAGAACGCTCATCACAAAAGCCTTTCGGGTGTGTCTCTCCCGCTTCGTCCTCAAGCCTTGCGAGCTTCTTCACCACAGATACGATTGGTGCGACTGGCTCTCGCCCCAGCTCTACCCCATCCCCGCGCTACTCTCAGTCTCGCCGATGCCATCTCTTTCCTCCCCTCCGACGAGGTGATCGAGATACTTGACCAGTCGCCGCAAGTCTCTCCTCGAACAATAGGAAGTCTCTTAAGAAAGGCCCCATGAACCCCTCACCGCCTTTTGTTCAAAGCACTGCAAAGCGCTGCAAGACGGCAGGCGTTAAGAAGATCGATGCCTCTGGTGCAAGCGTGAAATGATCCTTCACGAGACCGCTGCCGCAGGATACACGATCGCTAGGCTACTGGCATCGTCACCCGCATTCAATTCGTACATGCGTTCTATCCAGGTTGTACGGATGCTAACCTTGTACCTTTCGTCATACTACGATAATTCGCCACTCACTGCTTGTCGAGTATAAATCCTAAACGATCACCCATTGCGGCTCCTCCACCATTTACGTACGCATATAGCCGATGGGGTTTGAAACGCCACCCACTATAGCCGCTGTCCAGACTCGGATATTCTGTCCCTCTTGACCTCGAACGCTCACCATCCTTCTCCCTCCACGGGCCAACAGAGCGGTGTCGGTGATACTGGGATGACAGAGGCTGTTGAACGGGAGGGAAAACGCAAGATAGTCAGAGACGCGTTCTACTACGACACCGTAGTTTTCCAGGTAAGGGTCGCGATCGTATGCTCGCGCGAAGCTACATCAATACTCATTGTGTCGTATCAGGTGAAGAACACGCTGTTCAAACTCTCTCGGCAGAAGATCGCAAACGAGTCGGAGACGTTCCGAGAACTCCTCTCCCAGTCCGCACAAGGGGGCTCGGACGAGGAGCCCATCAAGCTCAAGCGCGTCACCGTTGCCGACTTCCGCTCGTTTCTGGCCGTGTTGTTTCCTGCGTGAGTTCATCTTTATGGTGCAACCGCCTGGGGCCCCTTTACCAACCGAAGAGGGCTCGGAACAGGGAATGCAACCGACCCATCAGCAAGTCGACGGAGGAGTGGAAGTCTGTATTCGACCTCGCGTCCAGGTGGCGGTTTCCGTCCATTCGAGCGATCGCCGCCCGGGAGCTCGAGCCCAAGATCGAGGGGCAGAACGCGATCGCGTGGGTGCTCCTCGTGCGGCAGTGCAACGTCCGCTCCTGGCTCGTCTATGCCCTCACTGGGCTCGTCAAGAGGGAGCAGCCGCTCGACGCGAAGGACATTGCGCCGCTCAGAGTCTCGACGTTCATGGCGTTGATGGGGTTGCGCGGAGAGTACTTTAAGCTCTCGGTCGAGGCGAAGAGTCGGTCGAGGAACCGTTCGGAGCTGGACGAGGCGCTGAAGGACGCGAGCGCGAGGATCCAGGGGAGCGTTCGTCGGCGGTTTTCGGACGAGCTGGGAAAGCTTGATGAAGCCTCTGCGGCAGGAGAGTTTGGACTTCTTGACGACGGGTTGACGAAGAGGCGGAAGCGGAAGGCGGAAGCGGCCCCGGAGGTGGGGTCGAAATCGATAAAACTGGAGGAAGAGGTACTTTTGGTCGAGATGTGAACATGAATGCGCTATTCAGTGCTCATAGTGCCCATTCAACGATTGACAATCCAGCTTCGGAAGAACGCAATGGCGGACTTACGTAACATTGCCTGCCGACTCCCTGGGCGCTACTCGCCAGCTGTGCATCCGCCGTCCCGCCCTTGACCAGCCTTGACCTCGAAAACTCACCATGGGAAAAGCTAAGCGCGCTAAGCTAAGGGCCCGCGAGGCAGAGGCTGCTAAGCCGCACGAAGAACTCGGACGAGTCGTCAAAGACAATACTTTCTACTACAAAATGGTGGTGTTCCAGGCGAGTGCGCGCCGCAAGTTCGTCTGCTGTGTCAACACCGGCCATGTTTATACTGACGGGAGCGTGCAGGTGGAGAACACCCTCTTCAACCTCCCGCGGGACAAGTTCACCAGTGACTCCAGGGTGTTCCGGAGCCACCTCTCACAGCCCGCGTTCAGCTGGACCTCCGACGACGACCCCATCCTGCTCAAGAACGTCACCGTCGCCCAGTTCCGCCCGTTCCTGCAGGTCCTCTTTCAAGGGTACTCCTTTTTCGAAAGAGAGCCGTCTTTTTTGGCCCTGATGACCAAGTGCTAGGAACAAGAACCACCCCAACCGACACGGCCTCAACTTAGCGCGGGAAGAGTGGAGGTCCGTCTTCGACCTCGCCGCCAAATGGCGCTTCGCTGCCATCAAAAGCCGCGCAGCCGAGGAAATGAAACCCACGCTCAACTCGTGCAGTCCCGACGATTTCGTGGCATGGGTGCTCCTCGCTCGAACACACAACGTCGGCTCGTGGCTGGTTCAAGCGCTGACGGCGCTGGTCGTCAAGAGGGAAGAACCGCTCGACACGAAGGATGTCGGGCCGCTCGGGATCCCAACGGTCATGGAGCTCACAAAGCTCCGGGAGCAGGACTTGAAGTTGTCTGCGGGGGCGAGGCGGCGTCGATCGGAAGCGGCTGTGGAAGAGTCGTTGACCTTGGCTGGTGAAACGATCGAGAAGAGCGTCCGTGAGTTGTTCGCGCTCGAGATTGAGGGACTACGTAAAGCCACTTCTTCGGGAGAATTTGGACCTATTGATGAAGGATTTATGACAAGGCGGCCGCGGAAGAGGGATTCGGAGGCGGCTCAGCTGCCAGAGGCGGGGTCCCAGGCAAAGTCGTTGAAATGCGAGCCGGATATAGAATTAGACTAAATTGAAATGGACATGCGATGACATAACCTTTCAGACACAAACTCAGTTGACTCTTGCAAGCAAGAAGAGGCAAGAAGTCAACAAGAAGTTGCTTGAAGCTGCCGTTGATGCTCGGCCCGGAGGACGGCGCTGGCGGGCCGGGTCCACATACATCGGATGGTTGGTGCCAATTCGCACAGGACCCCGAAAACCCGCCAAACGCCCATAGGCGGAGGTGCGCCGAATCCGGGCCCTCCGGGCCCGGAAGCTTAGGTCCCTCCAGCGCCGAAAACGGCCCCATTCCCGAAGCCTTGTGTGCCAGTTGCGCCGAATCTGAGGCCTTGAGGCCCGAGGGGTCCTGTGGTCGGCCCACAGCGAACTTCATGAACCCAGAAAGCGGAGCCGTTCACGGCTGTTCCGTTGCAAATCATCTGTCTCACCTTGATATGGGCAGTGACGCACCGATACCATATGAGTTTCTGCTTCAGCATGGGTTGACGATGGTCCACGTCATTGCATCGCTGCTCAACGCATTCTATTCCTCGCATGGTGGAGTGGACATTCTCACAGCGGCGAGTGGACTGCTGAAGCGGGCGTCTAGCACTCCAGGTACTGTACCATTTCGAATTGATCGAACCCCCGTTTGGAGCATGACGGAAAGTTTGGTCGGGTGGATTCGAACTTTGACCGGGC